ATGTTGAGACTGAACATGTGAGCAACGGTGAAGTTTTAGAAAAATGGAAACAAAAAGGACATTTACACTTGCATCAGGAAGAGACAGTTGACATATCTAAGTTACATAACGAGAAAAATAACTTGGAAAAGTTGTTAGCAAAAGGATGAGCCCAAAATGCAAATTATAAAATCGGCGATTCCAAGATCAAACAAATACAATTTAAATATCTGGGAAGTGTTTTAACAGAGGACGGAAAGTGTGACACTGAGATACGAAGGCGTATTCGGATAGCGAAAGATGTCTGCTAAGCAGAGTATCAAGAGACAGAAGAACTTCGGTAGGAACAAAGAAAAGAGTACTGAACTGTTATGTGATATCTGTCCTCATGCCAGTGAATGAAATATGAAAAATATGAAAGAAGGACGAATCTTAACAATTCTATATTTTTGGAATTCTTTCCATCCTGGGGAATATTAAAATAGGTAAATTTCAAGGTAATCATTTGTGTCCCAGATCAAGATATTGCCAGCAATAAACACATACGACTAAAGGAACACCCCAACATGTAAACTACAAATTGGTGATACCAAAATCAAACAAGTCCAACAATTTAAATATCTGGGAAGTGTTTTAACAGGGGATGGAAAGTGGTACACTGAAATCCGAAGGCGTATTGTGATAGCCAAAGATTAATCCCAAAAGCTAAGAAGAAAACTAGAAAAATGACTTCGTTAGAAACAATGAAAAGAGTACGGGACTGTCCTGTTATATGGCAGTTAATTTTTTTCCTAAAATTGAAGAAGAGACTTAAAGTAACAGAAATGTGGTTCTACAGAAAGATCCTGAGGTTACTATGGGCCAAATATTTGAGTAACGATTAATCTTTAAAGAAAATAGAAACAAAAACTAAAATTATACTTAACGTAAGGAGAGAGAAAGAAAATCTGAAATTTCTGGAGCACATAATGAGGAAAGAGTACTTGGAAACTCTGATACGCACAGGACGGATTGAAGGTTTGGTTTGGTTCGTTTTGTTTTTCGGCATATCAACCTCAAAAGTATCTGTCTATATTTCTGAGATGAGGTATTATATACATTATTTACATTATTCGGACTATTGTCCTCATCTTTGTCAAAAACATGAGATTTATAATACCCAGAAATTCATAACTGATGTCCTCAAGGACACATGCCACAGTGGATAAAAGCGTCAGTTAGATTCAGTGACAGGACCCCAAAAGTGTGAGTTCAATACCCAGTTAAGGCAGTGGAGAACATTCTTAATTGATAACTGACATGTATCAAAAACAACTGGAACGAGAACAGTCTACCCCATTGAACGAAATAAAGGGTTCAGTTCGACATTCCAATCACCTGACGAAGGCCGAAACGTTGTAATAAATTTGGCGACAACAGTCCGAATAATGTAAATAATCCAACCTCAAAGGGTTATTTAATGCAGACAATTTTTATTGATAATAATGTTTTTTTCTTCAAAAATCTATTTCTGATAATATTTTTTTTCATAAATCTATTGCTGGTAATAATTTTTCTTTCAAAAAGCATTACTGGTAATAATTGTTTCTACTAAAATGTATTGCTGGTAATAATTTTTCTTTCAAAAAAGCATTGCTGGTAATAATTGTTTCTACTAAAATGTATTGCTGGTAATAATTTTTCTTTCAAAAAAGCATTGCTGGTAATAATTGTTTCTACTAAAATGTATTGCTGGTAATAATTTTTCCTTTAAAATTGTGTCTCCGATAATTTTTCTTTCAAAACAATTATTACTGGTAATAACTTTTCCCCCAAAATGTATTGCTGTTAATTACATTTCCTTCATAAAAGTATTGCTGGTAAAAAAAAATTTTTCTAAAAATGTATTGCTGGTAATAATTTTTCTTAAAACATTACTGGTAGCATTCAGACCTGTGTTTGGAGTAATAATTTTGCCAAAAAAGCTGGGATGGTAATAGGTCCTTCCACCCCGGAAAGGTATTGTATCTGAGAACATCAACAAAAAGAGGTGGTAATAACGCTCCTCTAAAATGTATTGATCATAACAATTTTCTGCTGTCAGGTGTATTTTATCGTTGTTTAGAACAAATTCTAATAATTGTTAAACTATTTGTCCATAATTTGGGACCCCCAACAGATTTTACTTTCAAACCCGGGTCACGGTGGACCTAACTTTTCCCCAAAATGTAATTAAGAGGAGGTAAAACGTATTCCTCAAAACCTTTTGATGAAAATGTATTGCTTGCTGTTGGACACAGCATTTAATGTGTTTACTCAGGACTATTTGGATGTAGTTGGGATCGTCATAGGTCCTTCCACAAATGGATTGAAGGAGAGGGACAGACAAAAAAGGTGGTTCATAACCTTTGCTGTAGGTGGATTTTATCGTGGATGGCAAAGAACAAAGGTTAACAAAAGGATTAGAAAGATCTGGGAAACAAGGGATGGTAACCATAATGGACCTTTGAACGGCCAGCACATTAAAGAAGAATGAGCTCCTGTGATGAAAGCCTTTCATGTTGGACGGAACAAGGATATGGATGAGTTTACCGTCAAAGGACAAAATTTATTAAAGAGGAAAACAAAGGATGGAGGAAATTGTTCAAAGAGTTAAAAAAAAGGATTGATCAGGAAGTGTCCTGAAGGGACACGGACACAACACGAAGAAGAATGAGCTTGTGTAAATGGATGGCCGAAGAAGGTTTAGAAGTGATAACAAAAAAATAAAAAATTATTAAAAGCTACAAAGGATAGGAAATTGTGGAGAGCCATGATCGCCAGTGTCCTGAAGGGACACACGACACATAGAAGAAGAGGAAAGAGCTTGTGTAAATGGATGGCGTAAGAAGGTTTAGAAGTGATAACAAAAAGATAAAAATTTATTAAAAGCTACAAAGGACAGGAAATTGTGGAGAGCCATGATCGCCAACTTCCTCAAAGTACACGGCACATAGAAGAAGAAGATAGCAAAGGGATCATGTCCTCAATTGACTCATTAATTTCTTGGTATTGCTGAAAAGAAAAATAATTAAAGTACAGCTTATATTTCGGGCGCCGACATTTGACTAGCCCTCTACGAAAAGCATATAATTTGCTTTCTTTTTTCTTCACGCACGAAAGGCTGGTCTCTTTTCCCAATGAGCTTAAAGTTATGGTTTGCTGCTGAAGAAGGACAAATCCAAATGCACCTGAATTTAAGCCGCCAAACAAAGTAGTGTTTCTAAAACTAATCCGAACATTCGATACAATGTGTCCTAAAAACATTCGTAATTAAAATTCTCGAATCTAAAATACCAAAGATTAGGACAAAGAGAAAAATCGTATCCTTACTGTTGAATACACATTGGTGACCCGGTGTTTCTTAATGTTAGCTAGGTATATAAAATACGCCCTGCTTTCATCTTTCATATTGATTACACATTGGTGACCTGGTGTTTCTTAATGTTAGCTAGGTATATAAAATACGCCCTGCTTTCATCTTTCATATTGATTACACATTGGTGACCCGGTGTTTCTTAATGTTAGCTAGGTATATAAAATACGACCAGCTTTCATCTTTCATATTGATTACACATTGTTGACCCGGTGTTCCTTAATGTTAGCTAGGTATATAAAATACGCCCTGCTTTCATCTTTCATATTGACTACACATTGGTGACCCGGTGTTTCTTAATGTTAGCTAGGTATATAAAATACGCCCTGCTTTCATCTTTCATATTGATTACACATTGGTGACCCGTTGTTTCTTAATGTTAGCTAGGTATATAAAATACGCCCAGCTTTCATCTTTCATATTGAGATCAAAGTGTAGTATCTGCTTTCGGGCGGATAAATTGCATTCTGTCTCTCAGTTGTGTGTCTGTCTTCGAACATAGCGTAACTCAGTTGTGTTTCTGTAAGCGGACAGAGCGTAACGGAAAATATTATTGAGAGCTGCCCAGTCTCGGGAAACATTTGCTTGCGGCAGTACCTTCTTTATTAGGAGGGATTGGCAGTAACACCGATGCCAACACAACCGACGGTTACGGTGGCTAGAATATGTTTGAAACTGGCTAGAGTGCATGCGCCATATTGTGTAACATTGTGACGCATCCAACCAGTGTGGAACAGTAAGTAAACACTAAGTGTATTAGCTGCGTTCGAGCGGACAAACTACAATTTATCTACATTATTTACATTATTCGGACTATTGTCCTCATCTTTGTCGCCATATTTATTACAACGTTTCGGTCGTTGTACATATGGCGACAAAGATGAGGCCAATAGTCCGAATAATGTAAATAGTGTACATAATACCTCATCTCAGAAATATAGACAGATTCTGAAAGGCCGAAACGTTGTAATAAACATGGCGACAAAGATGAGGACAATAGTCGGAATAATGTAAATAGTGTACATAATACCTCATCTCAGAAATATAGACAGATACTGAAAGGCCGAAACGTTGTAATAAAAATGACGACAAAGAAAGATGAGTCCGAATAATTTAAATAGGTACATAATACCTTAAATCAGAAATATACCACAGATACTGAAATCGAAACGTTGTAATAAATATGGCGACAAAGATGAGGACAATAGTGAATAATGTAAATAATGTAAATACCTCATCTCAGAAATATAGACAGATACTGAAAGGCCGAAAAAAATAAATATGGCGACAAAGATGAGGACAATAGTCCGAATAATGTAAATAATGTACAAATACCTCATCTCAGAAATATAGACAGATACTGAAAGGCCGAAACGTTGTAATAAATATGGCGACAAAGATGAGGACAATAGTCCGAATAATGTAAATAATGTACATGACACCTCATCTCAGAAATATAGACAGATTCTGAAAGTCCGAAAAGTTGTAATAAATATTTGACAAAGATGAGGACAATAGTCCGAATAATGTAAATAATGTACATAATACCTCATCTCAGAAATATAGACACATACTGAAAGGCCGAAACTTTGTAATAAATATGGCGACAAAGATTAGGACAATAGTCCGAATAATGTAAATAATGTACATGACACCTCATCTCAGAAATATAGACAGATTCTGAAAGTCCGAAACGTTGTAATAAATATTTGACAAAGATAAGGACAAAGAATAATGTAAATAATTTTTGTTTAATACCTCATCTCAGAAATATAGACAGATACTGAAAGGCCGAAACTTTGTAATAAAATGGCGACAAAAGATGAGGACAATAATGTACATAATACCTCATCTCAGAAATATAGACAGATACTGAAAGGCCGAAACGTTGTAATAAATATGGCGACAAAGATGAGGACAATAGTCCGAATAATGTAAATAATGTACATAATAGCTCATCTCAGAAATATAGACAGATACTGAAAGGCCGAAACGTTGTAATAAATATGGCGACAAAGATGAGGACAATAGTCCGAATAATGTAAATAATGTACATAATACCTCATCTCAGAAATATAGACAGATACAATTCATTTTTTAACTGAGTTTCTTCCTTCGGACAGAACACAGGAAATGAATGAGTGATGTCTGGTTCCTGGGAATCCAACCCTGCGTTAGCAGCACCTTTATTGCACAAAAGAGGTGCTGGTGGTGGGATATTGACGCCAGCGCGATGTTGATTGCGAGGACCGGGCAATGTTTTCCTTTAGCCGATGCGCAAACGCTTGGGCTCCGCACTTTAAAGCAGTCTTTTGGAGAGTCACTTTTTCGGCAGAGTCATCTTTCTTCTACTTCAAGTCTACTACATTTAATACTATTTACGTCTAAATTTCTGGCTTGAGGAACTATTGTTATTTACATTTTAACTAATATCTTCGTCTTTGCAGTTATTATTGCAGCGTTTCAGCCGTTGTACACTTCAGTGATCAGGAGATCTCCAGATGCATAGCAGATGCGCCAGACCAGATGTGACAGCAATATTAAATTAATGGTTGATTTATAAATGTTTGTTTGTTTAGTTTTACGTCATATCAACCTCAATGGGTTATTTAATAAAGATATTTATTGCTGGTAATATTTTTTTCAAAAATATATTGCTGGTAATATATTTTTTCCAAAAATGTATTGCTGTTAATATTATTTTTCAAAAATATATTGCTAGTAATATTTAAAAAAAAAATTATTGCTGTAAATAATTTTTTTACAAAAATCTATTGCTGGTACTAAAACATTTTTACACTTTCATAGTGTTTTGACACCAGTTTGGGGTTAACTATTTGCCAATAGCTGGGACCCTAACAGGTGCTACCACTCTGGGTCAGGGTGAACCTGGGAACATCAGCAATTAAGAAGTGGTTCCAGCTTCTCAAAACGATCAGAGGCCTTGCTGTTGGATGTAGTTTATCGTCATACCCAGGACGCGAATGTAGTTTATCGTCTTACCGAGGACGCGGATGTAGGTTATCGTCATACTCAGGACGCGGATGTAGTTTATCGTCTTAACCAGGACGCGGATATAGTTTATCGTCTTACCGAGGACGCGGATGTAGTTTATCGCCTTAACCAGGACGCGGATATAGTTTATCGTCTTACCGAGAACGCGGATGGAGTTTATCGTCTTACCGTGGACGCGAATGTTGTTTATTGTCTTACCGAGGACGCGGATGTAGTTTATCGTCTTACCGAGGACGATGATGTAGTTTATCGTCTTACCGAGGACGCGGATATAGTTTATCATCTTACTCAAAGCGCGGATGTAGTTTATCGTCTTACCCAGGACGCGGATGTAGTATATCGTCTTACCCAGGACGCGGATGTGGTTATCGTCTTACCCAGGACGCGGATGTAGTTTATCGTCTTACCCAGGACGCGGATGTAGTTTATCGTCTTACCCAGGACGCGGATGTAGTATATCGTCTTACCCAGGACGCGGATGTGGTTATCGTCAATCCCAGGATGCGATTTACAAATGTGTTAGATAGATTTTGGCGATAAAAATTGTCCAGAACGACGTAGTGAACAAACGTTCCTAGCAGTTGATTCAATATAATCTTTCCGTTTCATGTCAGCGGAAAATGTCGGCTCGAGAAAGCGTAAGACTCTCTGTCCTGGAGGTTAGCATCAGACATGCTGATTGAAGACAAAAAAAAAATTCTCTAAGACAATTTAAAGAAAGCAGTTTTGTTTTTGTGGTGTTAAAATTAACATGCCATTTCTTGCCCCAATTAACAACAAATTGTAGGTCATTTTTGAGATTAGCTGCCAATTCGAACTCATCAGACCGATCAGGCTTACTATAAGGACAGGAGTAAATAGTTGTGTCATCAACATAGATGACGGGTTGAGAACTGATGACATCAGGAAGGTCGTTGATGAAAGGAACAAATTAGGTCTAAGGATAGATACTTTACGTACAAGAATTTACAATAAATAACCGTCGGGCGCAGTTTCTCATATCATCGATATTCGTAAGACTTATACTTGTATCCAGACAGGGAAATATCGTTTTTCTCATTAAATATTCATCATATCTATTTTGCAACAAAATATATAGATATAAGGAATTTGGTTTAATACACATTCAA